GGCGGTCTGGGAAAAGATGAATAAGAATGTTTGTGGGGTGATCATGTCCTGTTTAGAACAAGAGCTGAAATATAATATGATTGGGGTGACGTTTACAATGAAGATGTGGAAAATTCTCAATAACAAGTACCTTACGAAGAGTGTTGAGAACAGATTGCACTTGCTGCGTAGGTTATTCAGATTTTAGATGCCTAGGGGCACCTCACTAGCAGTTCATGTGAACAACTATACTAAGTTGTTATCGGACTTGGCGAATGTTGATGAGAAGATATCGGGTGAGTATAAGGCAATTATTTTGTTGGGCTCCTTACCGGATGAGGAGTATGATACCTTTGTGCTTACTTTGTTGAATAGAAGATCTTCTATCAGCTATAGTAAAGTAACTAACGTTTTGACGAACTATAATTTGAGGAGGAAGGACAAGGAGACTTCCCGCACTAGTACTTCAGGAGAGGCCTTGTCGACGAGAGGTAGAAGCCCATATCTGAGAGGTGACAATAGAGACAGGTCAAAGTCGAGAGGCTATCACCAGTTAGTAAAGAACCAATGTGTATTCTACAAGGAGCAGAGACATTAGAAGAGAGACTGTCCAAAGCTTAAGGAGAAAGAGAATGGCAAGAAAAAGGGCCAGAAAGGCCAATGAGGTAAACGTTGCAAGAGACGATAATTCAGATGATTCGAGCTTTTCTCTACTGATTACTCCGAAGGTGAACCATTTGGATGCATTAGATTGGATGCTTGATTCTGGTGCTACTTATCATGTTACTCCTAGGCAAGATTAGTTTGTGTCATTTGAGAGACTCGATGGGGGTGTTGTTGTCATAGAAAATGATCAATCCTGTAGCATTTGTGGGATAGGTACCATGAGGATTCGAATGCACGATGGAGTAGTCCGTGAATTAAAAAATGTGAGATTTTTTTCTCAGCTAAAGAAGAATCTTATCTCAGTTGGAGTTTTGGAGGCGAAGGGATTCAATGTGACCTTGGAGGATGCTGTAGTAAAGATTACTAATGGATCTTTGATGGTGATGAAAGGAGTCCGTAGTCAGAACTTATATTATCTGAAGGGGAGCACCGAGATTGGCCAGATAGCTTCAGCAATTTTAGAGGCGGATATGAGCAGATTTTGATACTACAGGTTGGGGCACACAGGAGAGAAGTCACTGCAGGCGATGTGCAAGCATGAACTATTGAAAGGAGCCAAGAGTGGAAAGGTTGAGTTATGTGAGCACTGTGTACTTGGCAAGAAGACAATGGTGAAGTTCGAGACTGTCATTCATAGGAAGAGGGGCATCCTGGATTACGTGCACACAGATGTTTGGGCTCCCATCAAGACTACATCACTTGATGGTCGACATTGGTTCGTCACGTTCATTGATAACTATTCTAGGCGTTGTTAGGTATACACCATGGTAAAGAAGAGTGAAGTCATAGATATATTTGTGAAGTAGAAGAAGCGGTTGAAACTGTAGACTGGGAGAAAGATCAAGACGTTATGATCCGACAATAGTGGTGAGTATAAATCAGACCCCATTCTACAGCTATGTCGTGACGAGGGCATAGAGAGACACTTCATATTTAGTCATACATCACAGTAGAATAGGATGACAGAGAGGTTAAATTGATCTTTGCTAGAGAAGATCAGATATTTGTTAGCGCATAGTGGTTTAGAGAAGATTTTTTGGGTTGAGGCATTTTTATATGCGAGCCACCTCATTAACAGACTATCTTCATCTACGATTGAGGGGAAGACCCCTATGGAGATGTGGCCAGGAGAGCCAGCACACGACTATGACCAGCTCAAGGTATTTGGGTACCCTACATTTTATCATGTGAAGACAGATAAATTGGAACATCAAGCTAGGAAGACCATATTTGTAGGATTCAAGCGTGGTGTCAAGGGATACAAGCTATGAGATTCAGTTGATAGGAAGATTGTGCTGCGTAAAGACATCATGTTCGATGAGGCTTCTATCTTGAAGCTTCCCAGTTCTCATCAGGTGGAGAGTGACCCGACAGAGGAGATATCGCAGGTGGTGAAGATCGATGCAGCTTCACATTATCCAGATGGTACAGTATCCATTAGAGTACCGACTAAGGTGACGCCAGGCTAGCACGGCGATGATGAAGAGGATACGGGTATAGATGTGCAGGATCAGGGACCGACGCTCAGGTTTAGGATTCTATTGCGGTTCGGAGACAAAGGAGAGACATACGGATGCCAGTACGGTATACCGATACAGTAGTTGCATATTCACTTCCTGTAAAGAGTATCGATGTGTTGATGTCTACTACATTCAGCGAGGCTAAGCAGAGTTCGGAGGCTGATTCGTGGCAGGTAGCTATGTAGGAGGAGATGGAGTCTCTTCACAAGAACGATACATGGGAGCTTGTTGAGCTTCCAAAGGGACAAAAGGCGATTGGTTGCAAGTGGGTATACGCGAAAAGGAGCGCATTGAAGGCACTCCAGTAAGGTTCAAGGCTAGGTTGGTTGTGAATGACTATGCACAGGAGGAAAGTATTAATTATATTGAGGTTTTCTCTCTAGTGGTAAAACACTCTTCTATTCGGATTTTTCTAGCTTTGGTGGCACAGTATGGATTGGTGTTAGATCAGTTAGATGTGAAGACGGTATTTCTTCATGGTGACCTTGATGAAGAAATATATATGACTCGGTCATTGAGTATCTGAGCTGCAGGGAAGGATAAATTAGTTTTTAGGTTGAAGAAATCGCTATACGGTTTGAAACAGTCTCCTCGACAGTGGTATAGGTGATTCGATGGATTTATGATCGGTCATTCGTACACGCAGAGCCAGTTTGATCATTGCGTGTATTTTCGCAAGTTGAAAGGATGTGCATATATTTATTTGTTGCTTTATATCGATGACATGTTGGTTGTCTCTATTTCTAGGTCTGCTATAGATGAGTTGAAGGCACGGCTTTCAAAGGAGTTTGAGATGAAAGGTTTCGGTTAGGCAAAGCGCATTTTAGGGATGGAAATCGGCAAAAACAAAAAGAAGGGCAAAATTTTTTTGACACAGGTGGCTTATTTGAAGAAAGTTCTACAGCGATTTTATGTTAGCATAGATACGAAGCCAATCGGTGTACCTTTGGGAGCCCATTTGAAGCTTTTAGCTGACCTTTCACCAAAGACAGTTGAAGATAGAGAGTTAATGTCGAAGACTCCATATGCGAGAGCGGTTGGGAGCTTGATGTACGCGATGGTATGTACGAGGCCGGATTTGTCACAGGCGATGTGCATTGTTTCGAGATACATGCACGATCCAAGAGTGAGTCATTGAGATGCCGTGAGATGGATTTTGAGATACATTCGAGGTACGCTCAATATTGGTTTGGTTTATGAGCAGGACACTACAGTACTGTAGTACTATTCATAAATACCGTATTGTAGTACTGTCCTTGATTTAGTGGAATCTCCACAACCTCTTCCCGTGAACGTAAGGAAATTGCCGAACCACGTATATCTCTGTGTTTGGTTTGATTTGTCGTATTTTGGATTGGATTGCTCGTGTTTGGTTTGGTTATCTTCTCTCGTGCTTATGGATTCGTTGGTGTGCGAGCACGCTTCCGCTAAGACGCGCAACAATTTTCAAAAACCAAATATAATTATAAGTATAATTATAATTTTTTACTAATCAAGAAGAAATTATTTCCAAAGATTCTGCACAATGTTCTGAACCATTCACGAACAGGGCAGAAGACGGTTTGCAAGTTTCAACTACTCCGTTTACAATTCTAAATTTTGTTCCCTTTGGCACTACATCTTTAGGGCAACTTGCTGTATTTGTTAAAGGGGAAAACCATGTTGAGACTTGAGAGCAAGTAGAATTCAGATCAAGCGTCAAACAAACAGTAAGAGCTGAGTTGGAAAGCAAAGTGGAAGCTCCGAAGAGGAAGCTCCCCCACGTTAAGCCTAGCTCGACCAGCTACTACATCAAGACAGCTACCTCTTTGTTGACCCATGTGCATCTTTCTATTTTCTCTAGCGAGAGGTCTCTATACATGTTATCTTTAGCTCTCGTTTTTTTTTTTTTTGTCCTTTTAATATCATTTCGCACCAACCCCTTTGAATTTTCCAAGTGGCTTTGCCTCTATAATTGGATTTTAGAATTTTATTATTTTGTCATTCTCACACAGTTGGCTGATACAGACAAACTGCTCAAGTCTTGGCGTAGACTTAATTTATTCGAGTAAGTATATTTAGAACATTGGCTCTATCCATTTGGTTCTAGGCTAGGAATAAGAGAAATTTTGTTGTCTTTTTATTCTGCTTAATAGAATAAAAATAATCCCATAAAAAAGGTTTGAATCATCACACTTGGCATATGATTGGGTGTTTTAGTTGTTCAATCACAATCGTTTATTATTTTTTCTAAACATTATTTATTTTATATGGTGCAAATATGCTTAGATTAGGCACTAGTTATCTATCCTCAGATCAGTAGGAGCAGAAAAATGAATATAGTGATTTTAAAGCATTAATTCTCATTGTTCGTTAGAATAACATAAATTAGAACCATTAACCTTCACTATAATATTCCAGAGTTTTGGTACAGTGGAAGTATTTTCTGACATGACCTTGGAGCAACCCGAGTTAAACTTCTATTGGTGACGAATTTAATTCAGACATAAAGATAATACTGATACCCATACTTCAACCTACAAAAAATAATGCTCAACCTAGAGACACATGTTTGAAAAAAAGAATTATAACCCTCAGCCTCGCCCATAACTTTAAGAGAATTATAACCCTCAGCCTCGCCCATAACTTTAAGAGTGTGGGTGTAGTACTGTTCCTTGGCATTGTCCGGAGTCCTAATTAGCCTTTGATACAAGAGATACCTTGAAGCATTTTGCTAGTCTCCTTCAGTCGAAGGGAAAAGTCCACCTATTCGTTACTTCTACCCCAGTCCAAATGGAAGCCAACTGGCCTGGCTAGCTAGCTATATCCTTAATATGTATAAATCCCTCAGCTCTCGTTCATCCCTTCACTGCTCCCTTCTCTAATTTCTTCGAGCCTTAATTAAATCACGTTTCTATAACCATGAGGAATTTAAGCTTACTCACCTTACTCTTCGCTTTGAGCCTAACTCGACTTAGCTCAGCACAAGTTCGACAGAATTACTACTCCAGCATCTGCCCCAACGTCGAGTCCATCGTCCGCAACGCCGTCACGGCCAAATTCCAGCAGACCTTCGTCACCGTCCCCGGCACCCTCCGGCTCTTCTTCCATGATTGCTTCGTTAATGTAAAGCCAATTCTACAATAACTGGCAACAATATATTTCAATATTTTTCACAAAGTTGCAGCAGATGTTTATAGTTTCAGTGTATTTTTTTTTTTTTGTCATACAGGGTTGTGATGCTTCGGTTATAGTAGCTTCGACGGCGAATAATAAGGCTGAGAAGGATAACCCGGATAATTTGTCGTTGGCCGGCGATGGGTTTGACACGGTTATTAAAGCGAAGGCGGCGGTGGATGCGGTGGCTCAGTGCCGGAATAAGGTGTCGTGTGCTGATATATTGGCAATGGCTGCGAGGGATGTTATAGCTCTGGTTCGTAATTTGATCTTTGTCTAAAGCTTTACATAAAAATTGGAATTGTTCCTATATAAATTACAAACTTTATGTTGAATTTAGTTTTTTTATTTGAATCCTTTTATAGTTAATCTGAAGGCAAAAGGTAACTAATGGTCGTGTGAATTTCATACGTCATCCCAGCCTAACGGAAAAAACAACATTCGTTAAGAATGCAAAAAGTGTGAGTGCCGAAAAAAATTAGTTTAAATATAAGTGGTTGGAATGGGGTGTATTTGTAAATCAATTTTACACTCTTTTACACATTTATCTGAACGGGTGGTTAGAATATTCAAATTTACACCGTAAAAATATTAATGATGTCAAATCTTGATTGTGTTAATTAACGTAGGCCGGCGGACCATCGTATGCGGTGGAGCTAGGGAGGTTGGATGGGCTGAGCTCGACGGCAGCGAGTGTGACCGGTAAATTGCCGCAGCCAACGTTTGATGTGAACCAGCTGACATCCATGTTTGCTTCCCATGGGCTGTCTCAGGCTGACATGGTGGCTCTCTCAGGTAAATTAATTAATATCAAGATTTAGATTAATTAGATGTAGATTGAAACTTTAGGATATAAGCACATGCTAAAGTAGTAATTAAACGGAGCTGGAACCAACAATTGTAGGTTTCAACTTTCTTTTGGAAATGTCTACCAATACACTGCACCCCTAGATAGTTAATAGATCTATCCATGTCCATACGAGATTGTCTACTTAATAAATATTTTATAAATTTTTCCTTGAATTTGCTACTTAGGATACCTTTAGAATTTAGTTAGGAAACCACTAAAGAGGATAAAATTGTAAATTATCAATATGGATTCGAGATATATAATGATAAGTTATATATGTTAGATCTACATCATAAAACTTGAGATCTAAAACCATATAGCCATGATTAATTCAAAGAGATTAACAAAATCAAAAGAGAGCGGAAGCTTATACCTGAATCCATAGATTGATCTTGATTTTGGGTTTTGGATCTTCTAACCTTAGGGTTTTCTCTTTTAGCCGAATTTCTCTAGCTAGATGGGGGTGTAGAGAATTAGAGAATGTAACCCTAGGTAAGGGACCATAACCCCTTATTTATAGATGTTGTACTTTTGTAATTTAGCCCCTCAATAAATTACAATTACAACCTGGTATCTGCACATATAACCCCATGACCTATTTAAATACCAAATTAACCCAACTTAATTGATCACTTTAGTGGGTTATCCTGAAAGATAGCAATACACATTGATTAATCATATGTGCCCACAAATAGATTTATTAGATTAAATCCAACAATCTCCCACTTGGGCACCATATGATTCCTTAAACTGTGTATAACCTTATGAGCTCAAAAATTGCTATCACTGAAATGGTATTTCCGAACAATCTCGTCCATTGACTATATCAATATAGGATCAAAGCGGCCTTCGTCACATTTATCGTGACTCGACCCATCAATGGTCACATATATCAATACAATCAAATGACATAGATCAATCATGGATGTGCAGCATGAAAATTACATGCAATGTGATCAGTACATGTCTATTTTCAACTGGTCCTCCTTAGTGAGGTCAAAACCAAACATAATGTAACAGAGTGTCTTAACTGAAAACTTTATTCTGATCAGACAATACAAACAAACATAAAGCACCACAAATACAAACTCCCACTAAAACATAATATCCTCAAATAATACCACACCCATATGAGCAGTATGCTCATGAAAGACCTTAGGTGGCAATCCCTTAGTAAGAGGATCAGCTAACATGGAGTTTGTCCCAATGTGCTCTATGGATATCTGTCCACTCTGTACCCTTTCTTTCACAACCAGGAACTTAATGTCAATATGTTTTGACTTAGTTGAGCTCCTGTTGTTATTGGAATACATTACTGCAGATTTATTGTCACAATATAGCCTTAGTGGTCTTTCAACATTTTCCAAAATGCGCAGTCCCGTGACAAAATTTCGCAGCCATATTCCCTGATTGGATGCCTCATAGCAAGCTACAAATTCTGCTGCCATAGTGGAGGAAGCTACTAGTGTTTGTTTGACACTTTTCCATGATATAGCTCCTCCTGCTAACATATAAATGTAGCCTGATGTAGACTTCCTGCTATCTTGGCATCCAGCAAAATCAGAGTCCGAATACCCAATGACCTCTAATTTCTCTGATTTTCTGTATGTGAGCATGTAATCTTTTGTTTTCTGAAGATACCTCATAACCCTTTTGACTGCTATCCAATGATCCATACCAGGGTTGCTTAAGTATCTGCCTAACATCCCAACAATGTACGCAATATCCGGACGCGTACATACCTGAGCATACATTAGACTTCCTACAGCCGAAGCATAAGGAATCTTCTGCATTTCCTGAATTTCAAGGTTACCTTTAGGGCACTGATTGAGACTAAACTTGTCTCCTTTAGCAACAGGGGTGTCACCTGGTCTGCAATCTTGCATGCCAAACCTTTTAAGTACCTTATCGATATAGCTCTTTTGTGATAATCCAAGAATACCCCGAGAGCGATCTCGATGTATCTGGATCCCTAATATAAAAGAGGCGTCCCCAAGATCTTTCATCTCAAAATTCTTTGATAGAAATCTCTTGGTTTCGTGCAACATGCCTATATCATTAGTGGCAAGCAAGATGTCATCCACATACAGAACCAGAAAAATATACTTACTCCCACTGAACTTGTGATATACACAGTCATCAACAATGTTCATCTCAAAACCGAACGAGATAACTATTTGTTGAAACTTATGATACCATTGACGAGGAGCTTGCTTGAGTCCATAGATGGATTTCCTTAATTTGCAAACCATATTCTTTGGGTCTCCTGACACAAAGTTTTCTGGTTGCACCATATAAATCATCTCATCAATGTCTCCATTGAGAAATGCAGTCTTAACATCCATCTGATGTAACTCAAGATCATAATGAGCAACAAGTGCCATGATTATTCTGAAAGAGTCTTTCGATGAAACCGGAGAGAAAGTCTCTGTATAATCAATGCCTTCCTTTTGAGTATAGCCTTTAGCCACAAGACGCGCCTTATACCTCTCCACATTACCGTTTGCATCCCGCTTGGTTTTAAAAATCCATTTACAACCAATTGGTTTTGCACCTTCTGGCAATGGGACAAGTTCCCAAACCTTATTGTCTTGCATAGACTTATACTCTTCATTCATGGCATCAATCCACTGTTGAGAGTTAGAACTTTTCATGGCCTGAGAGAAGTTGATTGGATCATCTTCTAACATTCCACTACTTTCCTCATGTTCTTGGAGAAATACAATATAATCATCCGGAATAGCATTTCTCCTTTCTCTCGTGGATCTCCTTAATGGCACTGGTTCTTGAGGTTGTTGAGTTTGTTCTTCTGGAACAGGGAGTTGTTCAACATTATCATCTTGAGGTTCCGGATTTACTTCTTGAGCAACAACAGGTATAGGAACCTGAATATTGTCAAAAGTAACTGTATGGATTGGATCTGAAGCCAATTCCTCCTCAAAACTAATGTCTCTAACCTTATTTCTCCCCCCAAACTCAACATCCTCAAAGAATGTTGCTGTTCCCGTCTCAAAAATATTCCTTATAGTGGGATCATAAAACTTATAGCCCCTAGAGCGATCAGGGTACCCAATAAAGTAGCTGCTAACTGTTTTGGAGTCCAATTTCTTTTCATTTGGCCTATAAGGCCTTGCCTCAGCTGGACATCCCCAAATATGTAAATGCTTTAAACTGGGCTTTCGACCAGTCCAAAGCTCATAAGGTGTTTTAGCAACTGCTTTACTTGGTACTCTATTCAGAATGTAAGCTGCTGTCTTAAGTGCTTCTCCCCAGAGTGACTCTGGTAAAGAAGAATGAGCAATCATACTTCTTACCATATCCTTAAGAGTCCTGTTTCGTCTTTCAGCTACACCATTCATGCTAGGTGAACCCGGCATAGTGTACTGTGGGACGATACCGCATTCCTCTAGGTATCTAGCAAATGGTCCTGGACGTTGTTCACCTGAACCATCATATCTACCGTAGTACTCACCACCACGATCAGATCTGACGGTTTTAATTCTTCTGTTGAGTTGATTCTCAACTTCAGCTTTATAGGCTTTGAACATGTCCAGAGACTCAGATTTTTCATGAATAAGATATAGGTGCCCATAACGTGAGTAATCGTCTATGAATGATATAAAATATTGTTGACCATTCCAGGATTCCGTAGGGAATGGCCCACAAATATCCGTATGTATCAATTCTAAGACATCCGAAGATCTGTTGGCACCTAATCTCTTCACTTTGGTCTGTTTTCCCTTGATACATTCAACACATACGTCGAAGTCCGAAAAATCAAGGGAATCCAAAATGCCATCAGACACAAGACGCTCAACTCTACCTTTTGAGATATGACCTAAGCGCTTATGCCATAATGTCGCCGAATTTTCCTTATTTAATTTACGCTTAGTACCACGTGATTCCACATGCAAGGATTCATTGTAAGAAGCAATTGTATCAAGCAAATATAGGTTGTCATAAATACTCAAGTAACCGGTTCCCACAACATTTGAATTAAAAGATAAACTGAATTGACTGTTTCCAAATGAACAAGAATAACCTGATTTGTCCAATACAGAAACAGAAACCAAATTCCGTCTAAAAGACGGTACTACAAAAGTATCTTTTAAATCCAAATAATAACCAGTTCCTAACAACAACCTAAAGTGCCCAATTGCTTCCACATCTACCGATTGTCCGTCGCCCACAAAGATGTGTCTTTCAACATCACTTGGCTTTCGGTAGCTCAGGCAACCCTGCATAGAAACACTTATGTGAGTAGTAGCACCAGAGTCTAACCACCAAGTGTTTCTAGGTACTGAAGCTAAATTAACCTCAGAACAGACCAAAGCAAGGAACGTACCCTTATTATCACGCCAGGCGTGATATTTTGTACAGTCCTTCTTTACATGTCCAGGCTTCTTACAGAAGAAACAACCCTGATTATCCTTATGTTGTTTCTTCTCAACTGGACCCTTAGCAGCTTCCTTATCATTCTTCCTTTTCTTGCCCTTATCCTTAGAGGCATAGGCCAAATGAGCACTTTCTGTCTTATCTTGCTTCAACCTGTCTTCTTCTTGCACACAGTATGAAATGAGCTCATTTAGAGTCCATTTCTCCTTTTGACAGTTATAACTGACCTTAAATTGGTTAAACTGTGCAGGAAGAGACAACAAAACCAGATGCACTAATAACTCGTCACAAAGATCGAGTTTAAGTGCCTTAAGCTTTGAAGCAATATGAGACATTTCCATAATGTACTCCCTGATATTTCCTTTGCCCTTATACTTCATTGAAATCAAGCGAGCTAAAAGCGTGCTTGTTTCTACCTTATCGTTTTTCGCAAAACGCTTCTCAATTTCGGCAAGGAAATCTTTAGCCTTAGTAATCCCTTCGGATTCTATGCCCCTGAAGGCTTCCGGAACGCCGCGCTTAATGATCATAAGACTCATGCGATTTGAACGCTCCCACTTCTCATGCTCCTTCTTTGCATCAGGAGTGCTATCCGCATTGAGAGGTTGGGGTTGTTCAGTTCTTAATGCATAGTCAAGATCCATGCAGCCAAGAACAATTAATATGTTCTCTTTCCAAACCTTGAAGTTTGTCCCATTTAGCATGGGAATTGAGTTGATGTTAGCAGAAATTGTTGCAGCAGATGCATTAGCTGAAATAAAACAAAAATGCTCACATCAATAACCATAATCAATAAAATTCAAATAATGACAATCCCCATCCAAGATACCGGCACAACATTAATATCAAGTCTTTGGACAGTAATATTAACTTGTAAGTGATACCTTGTTGCAATGATCAAACATTGACAATAACTCATGTCAAATAATGAAACTATCTTTGGATCGATTCATTATTCACATGTAAACCTTATAATTGTCACACGCTTATCATCGCAGATGTGTATACAGTCTAAATAAATATTAACCTTCCTTTGGGCCGATTAAATATTTACACGAAAGCATACACACAAACATCTCACATTCCTCATGAACAATCTACACAAGAGAGGTTACTTTGGCAACTTCTTGTTTCAATTAATCAATTGGAGTGAGAGACAACCTTAATACCTTAGTGTCATAATATTTGAATTAAATAATTGATTAAAAACCAAATTAGATTTAAATTAAAAAGTTTTAATTTAAATCAACTGAATTTCCAAAAACTTAATTGGGGTCTCACAGCTTAATTAGGGCCCATAACTTAATTGAATAAATTAAGTATACCAAAGTGGACCCATGAAAAGCCGAGGCTTAACCATAATGAACACGAAGTTCCCTTAACTTCGAACGCGAGGTTCGACTGTATTGAGTACGAGACTCACTTAAGCACGAACGCGAGGTTCGTCTGAAAATGAACGAACGCGAGGTTCGTTTGATAAAAGAACGCGAGGTTCAACTTGGGAACGAACGCGAGGTTCGTTTAAAAAATGAACGCGAGGTTCGACTGAAGTACGAACGCGAGGTTCGTCTGAAGTACGAACGCGAGGTTCGTCTGAAGTTCGAACGCGAGGCTCGACTGAAGCACGAACGCGAGGTTCGTCTGAAGTACGAATGCGAGGCTCGACTGAAGTACGAACGCGAGGTTCGTCTGAAGTACGAACGCGAGGTTCGTCTGAAGTACGAACGCGCGGATCGACTGAAGTACGAACGCGAGGTTCGTCTGAAGTACGAACGCGAGGTTCGTCTGAAGTACGAACGCGAGGTTCGTCTGAAGAACGAACGCGAGGTTCGTTAAAAAAATTGAGCTTGACGCTCACCTGAGTTGAACGCGAGGTTCACCTTAGAACGAACGCGAGGTTCGTTAAAATTGAGCTTGACGCTCACCTGAGTTGAACGCGAGGTTCACCTTAGAACGAACGCGAGGTTCGTTGAGCGCGAAGCTCGGTTAAAATTGAACGAACGCGAGGTTCGTTTGAGGTAACCACCTCCTTAATTTTCGCCATGAACCCTTAGGGTTTCAAACTGAAACCGCCGCCGACAAACCCAAAAACCTTTGATTTTTATTTTCAAAACAGATCCAGAATTGGAAAAAATTGAAGGAAAAATCAAAGAAAAATCCAAAAAATTTCAGTTACTGTTCACCCGGGAAAAAAATACTTTACTGTTCATCCGGAAAAAAAATTTCGTTACTGTTCACCGAACATTACTGTTCATCCGAGAACATTACTGTTCATCCGAACCCAAAAATTGAATCTTTAACCAGAGATTTAAGATCAAAAACCCAATAAAACTTAAATCCCTAAGAATTAATCAACCTGGCTCTGATACCACTTGTTAGATCTACATCATAAAACTTGAGATCTAAAACCATATAGCCATGATTAATTCAAAGAGATTAACAAAATCAAAAGAGAGCGGAAGCTTATACCTGAATCCATAGATTGATCTTGATTTTGGGTTTTGGATCTTCTAACCTTAGGGTTTTCTCTTTTAGCCGAATTTCTCTAGCTAGATGGGGGTGTAGAGAATTAGAGAATGTAACCCTAGGTAAGGGACCATAACCCCTTATTTATAGATGTTGTACTTTTGTAATTTAGCCCCTCAATAAATTACAATTACAACCTGGTATCTGCACATATAACCCCATGACTTATTTAAATACCAAATTAACCCAACTTAATTGATCACTTTAGTGGGTTATCCTGAAAGATAGCAATACACATTGATTAATCATATGTGCCCACAAATAGATTTATTAGATTAAATCCAACAATATATAGACATATCTGAGACAAAATCATGAATCCTCACTGTTTGTATATGTAACGCACATAACTTATAAAATATTCACAATGTTTGATGACAACTTAAATACTAAAAAGATAAATCATAACGACACTCTTTTTCTAATTTTTTTAGAATGACTAATAACATCATTAGATGTGACTTTCTACACATTATACCCATAAAAATACCACTCAATGCAATTATGATTTATTATTTATGATATATATATATATATATATTTAAAATTATATATATATATATATATATAATATATATATATTATATAGAGTCATTCACTACTAATTCTGCTTCTATTTAGTTAGACCACTGATGATTTATATAGTAAAACATGTAGTAGTTTAATGCTATAGGACTGAAATATCTTTCAAACATAAAAACCAGTTTATCCTTTATCCTTTATAATACTAAAACGGTATAAGCATATAATAATATTAGGATTAATTATAGATAACTCCCTTAAACTTTTGGAGAGTTGTAACAGTCCTCAACACCCCCCCCCAAAAAAAAAAAAACCCATTTTTTTTATCCACTAAATCCTGCTGAACTTTAAAAGTTATTGCACCTTTTGAACTTTTTTATCACTACACTTTGCTTAAAACATTATCTTTTAATCTTCATATTAGCCACACCATATGTGTCACTGGAAAAGCACAAGAGAAAAAGAAGACGAAAAATCCTTCTTAATTCAAAAAAATACCATTTTATTAAAAATAAAAAAATAGGTGCCTTTTTTTTGTGGGGCGGGGGGGGTGTTACGCGGATTATTTTCTTTTGTTAGCCATTATTCGTGAGACACTAAAATCGATTGTGATAATTTGAAAAAACTAAATGAGAAATTTAGCAGAATAAAAATGTTTAGGGGCTTTATGTGCAATAACTCCTAAAATTCGGCATATTTTGGTGGGATAAAAAAACCTGAGGGGCTTTTATTGCAACTCCTCAAAAGTCCATGAGGTTTTTTCTGTAATCAACCCATATAATTCATATCGTTTGCCTAATAAATATAGCAAAAAAAACATAATTACCATTCAAATTTCGCTTTAAAATAATAATATAATCTGTATGTCCATGATCAACTGACAATTATATTCACTAATGATATACTTGCACTATGAATTTGAATTTGAATATGAGATTTTCTTAATTCAATCACTTTCTCAGCACGGTGACATTAGTCCCCACAAAAAGGAAAGCAGTCCTCCTAATAAGAGAATGTATACAGTGGCAACATCTTCTGATTCTGCTAATTTTCAACAGCCACCTCTAAATTAGTCCCCCTTTTTTTTTTTAAGTCCTTTTCGTAAATGCACATGTCAGTAGGTCCCACAGATTTCCCTAAAGTTAGCGGTCCAACTCTTTCTTTGGATTACTAGATGATGACTTTGAGTTTAAGTCCGCCTGATAGTTGCTCACTCGCAACTCGCGTGGCCGAAGGACCACGTTGAAATTGAAAACATACATAAGAACTAGAGGAGAGAGACTAGCAAGTGACTGTTGCATAAGATTCTTATTGAAGTGTAACAGTATAATTCTCAATTCTCACCGTAACTCTGAAATGATGGTAATTATTATTCTTTTTAAAAAAAGAAGAAGAAAATCTCATTCTCATTCGTAACATATAATCCTCGTGTTGTGGAGAGAATTAAAAATGGTATTAGAGAAACCATTGGCATTGTTGTTAGGTCCTCTGATTCTCATAAATTATGTCGGATTAGTCCCTACAATACTTTTTTTTTTTTAGAACAAAATGGGACTCAACATGAAACCCAATGCATCTAACATTACCCAAAATAGTTCCTCCAATCAAGAGGAGAAACTGAATAAGGCAACTGAAGGGATTAATTTACAATAACTTATGAGAATTGGGCAACCTACTAGCAATTTCAATGTTGGTGGGACTAATTTTAAAATATGAAACTTTTAAGCGGGCTCGCTAACATTCGGCCCATATTTTGACAGCCGCGCACACACTGGGCTTCTCACACTGCAACCGCTTCGCGAACCGGATCTACAACTTCAAGCCCGGAGCCCCCATCGACCCGACGCTCAACAAGACCTACGCGGCCCAACTCCAATCCATGTGCCCGAAAAACGTCGCCGCGGACATCGCCATCAACATGGACCCCTTCACGCCTCGAACCTTCGACAATCAATACTACAAAAATCTTCAAATGAGAATGGGCCTCTTTACTTCGGATCAGGCTCTGTTTGAAGATTCTCGAACCAGGCCTGCGGTGAATGCGTGGGCCCAGAGCTCGGACACTTTTAATAAGGCCTTTATCGCTGCTATGACTAGATTGGGCCGGGTTGGGGTTAAGACCGGATCACAGGGGAACATACGTCGAGATTGTGCTGTGCTTAATTGAGGTTTTCTTTTTTTCGTTTTGTGTAAAAAGAATAAACTGAAAAGGGATTGCTCATGTTGTTAGCAAATGAAGGAATAAGTTCTAAGAAAGGAATTGGTTGTTTTACGTAGAAAAAAAAGGGAATAAAAATAAAGCATAAATGTTTCTATGTTTGGATCTTTTTCTTTTTGGAGTAAATGTTTGGGTTTTATTTTCTGTTGAGCAGTTGCAATCAAATGCAATTTGAAATACGTTCCAAAACAAGATTCTTTTTCTTTTAGCTTGCAATTACTTGATATTATCATGATAATTGATATTGCCTCTTATTTTCTTTGAAATGATTATCTTAAACTCGGAACCTCTTTTTATTCAGAACTGCATCCCAGAAGTGAATTAAGCATACTATCACAATATGATTAAGTAGTGAATACTTCATTATTACTATTTTTAGTGACCCGTCATGAATATTTGGTTAGGAGAAGTTGAAACAACAAATGCTTTTAAAATAATATCGTATTGTTCCAACTCATGCAATTAGAATGGCTTTCAATTTGAATGTTGTTTTAACTGCTCTATTTTTGGCTTCTTTTTTTTTTACTATTGGAACAATATTTTGGTGTTGCAATAATATTTAATCAAACAAGCCTTCTAAAATTTTAGATAAAGTTGAAACAGTATGGAGTTCCAACTACACCTAACAGAACATGTTAATGCTAGGTTCTTAGAGGGAAGCAGACATTTATAAGAGCTTTTTAATTTCAGTACAAATGTTTGTTTGGTTTGAAGTAGTTGGAATAATAATCCTTTTACTTCCTTTGGTCTAACTCATATTGTTAGAATACTCTTGAATTTTGACCCCTCTAAGGGCCTGTTTGGTTTGCTTCATGTAAAAACGTACAGTAGCTACAGTGACAGGGAAGTGAATGGTCCATCTGTATCTGATAGCTACTGTAAATCGAACTCGTTTCACTGCTTTTTGCTGAGAAAAGCTGAGGGGCTGTCAACTCAGCTACAGTAACAATGCTTATTTGAGCAAACCAAACAAAAGAGTTTGGTGTAATACTGTAGCACCTGACATCAACAGTATTACACCCCAACAAATTGGCAAACAAACATGCCCTAAGAAAAGAGAAATTTATTTGTACTATAGATCTCTTTGGGTAAAACAGTAAAAAAAAATCACTCAACGTGCTCTGGTAAAAGTAAATAGGGGTGTAAGTTCCAAAGAGCTTTACTAGAGGGGCCTACGTAAAATTAATTAACCCTAATAAATATGTTTTTTGTGGGCTTGTCTTTCTTCGTCCGCCAATTGGTTTTGGAGGTTGACTAACCATGTGTTCTTTGGGTTAAAATTTTGCTTCACACGTTCTTGGTTTCATCTACTTAACTGGAAAA